TACCTGTGTTTCAACCCCCAGCCGCTCTCGAGGTCAGGGAGCCAGTACCTTTTGGGCCGTGTAGCCACCCCCCACTGCAGAACCCAGCACGAGGTAGCGCAGCCGCAGCAGCCTGGAGGCCACCCGGGCGAGCCAGAAGTTCCTGGAGGGCTGGAGGGCGAACTTGACAAGCAGAAGCCTGGAGCTGCGCAAGGGAAGGCGACCGAGGGTGGAGTACTGCTGGGCCGAGGTCCGTGACCGAAGCCTTGGTAACCTGGACATGGGGGGCCCGGAATGATGAGTCTTTCGTGAGATAAAATGCAGTCTCGGCAGCGGCAGCTTCCCTCTCGCTCTGGGGGTCCCATTGGCCAGGTTCTGACAGGCAGCGCTAGAGGGAAGGAAACACGCATTCTGGATTATTCGCGCAGGATTCTCAGTCGTGAGTACCAGCAGTTCAAAGTCATTGTGAACATTTCACGTGGAGTTTCTGCAGTTAACCCCAACCACCCCCACCATCAACCGCTATTTCCCAGGAGGCTGTGGGCAACCTTCAGCAGAGGTTTCTGTGGTGCACTTTGAGGCAGGCTTGAAAAGTAGCTGCAGGCAGCCTGGAACAGTCACTGACATAAAAAAAAAACATCAAATCTGTGCTGCAACCATTCTCTGCTTGCTTTTGGGGGGCAGAGGTTTGTGGTTAGAGGTCTCACAAAACGATCACAACCAACACAACCATAGGGACTGTGGGCCCCCTGGAGAATATTTGCTTGCATGCCAATAGTACCGCTCCTAAAATCATTGTGTGAATAAAAGAACACATTATTTCCCAGTGATTCAGTCTTTAGGCCCTAGCTTTCCACAGCATGGATCCCTCTGGGTCTATGGAGATTCTAAGTCATCCAGGTCGTGACTGTCCCAAAGGTGCTTTCAGTTGCCTTTTAAAAAGCACCTTTGGGGATGGAATTATGCATTCCACATTTGGATCCCCTCTCTGTTTAGCTTTCAAAATTGCCGTGAAGATCTTGGGCTCGGCTAGAAGGGAGGCCAGCAAATGTAAGAGTAAGAAAAGTTTAGTGCCTGTTGCAGTACTGTGGTTGGGGCTATAGGGGGTTGTTATTACCGTACTAGTAGTAGTAATATTAATTCAATTTAATATAGGCACCCGCTCTTCTGGGTTTGGTCAGTTTTAATTTGTTTTTATTGAATAGAATTGCCTTGCGTAAGATCGCATATTAAGCTTCTAAATAACGAATCCCAAAAGGAGAGTGGCATCTTAAATGGGCTTTGTTATTACAAAGAGCCAAGAGGCTCCAACATCCGGAGGTGTGCTAGTCTCAACTCCGGGCCTCCTGGGGCCTTAGAGCCACAACATCAGGCCTTCTCTGGGTTTCCCAGGGGATCCATATCCCTTGGAGGGAGATTCTCCTCGGGTCTCTGGGAGGCGCTCCCTCCTCTAGGTCCCGGTTGCCCCAAAGGCGCTTTTTCCAAGAGGCAACTGGACTTTCGTTTCTCCCCCCCCCCCCCCCCCGGAAAACCTTTTGCTTCTCATCCAAGGTGCTTCTTCAGTTCAGGATGAGAAGCGAAATGCTCCCAAGGGAAAAACACACCAAGAAAGCCCAGATTCCTTTGGGGAGAAGCGCCCTTGGGACCCCCGGGGCCTCGGAGGATGGAGGTGAAGAGCAGACCCGGCTCCCTTCTTGGAGGGAGATGCGCCTCCTCTTCCCCTGGGGTCCATGGGGGGGGTGTGTCTCCGTCCTCCTCCGAGGCCCCGGGGGTCCCAAAGGAACTTCTTCCAAAAGGCCAAAAGGCTTCCTGGGGATTTTTTTTTTTTTTGGTTTCCCTGGAAAACGTTTCCCTTCCCATCCAAGGAGCTTCTCCAGTTCTGAGGGAGGCGGCCTTTGGGGGCCTCGGTTCCCGCGGGCATCACCGCTCCCTTCCTACAACGGGGACAGACCGGCGGACCGCAGTGCTTTCCTCCCCTTCCCCCGCCCGGTATCCTGGCAATCCCCAGCTGGAAGGGGCGACCGAAAGAGGCGCCACCGCTCCTCCGCCGGGCCTGGGCGAGAGGCGGGGAGCGGGACACGCGGCCCCGGCCTCGGATCTTCCACGCGGGAAGAGGATCCGGGACGGGCAGCCTCGGGAGGCGCCTCGGCTGACTCCCAGCTCCGGGCCGAGCGGAGCCAGGCGAGTCTGGCCGCCGGAGGAAGAGCTGCGCCCGGGAGCAACGCGGATCCCGGTCCCGCCAACCACCGCCCCGCCCCGGGCCCCTCAACCCCGTCGGCCGCCGGGCATCGCGGCCCCGGGTCTGTGGAGGCGCCCCGCACTAACCAGGCCGCCGCCGCCGCCGCCGAGCGGGCCCTCCACATCCTGCGCCGCCCGGCCCCGCCGGTCCTTCGCCGCCGCCGCCGCCCCCTCGCCCTTCAACCGCTTCCGCTTCCGGCCCGCCGGCCGAGCGTCCGCCGAAGCGCTGCGCCTGCGCGCCAGGTTCCGGGCGGGGACGCGATTGGGCGGACGCCCTGCGTCGTAGACTCACGAAAGTTCAAGAGGGGCCGTTCTATAAGCCGCTCCCACTCGGTCTCGGGTCCCTTGTTCACTCTCGTCGCCCTCGGTCGCTGCCCGGGAGACTCCGGCGCTGCTCGGACGGAGACGGGCTCCTCAATGGATCTTCCTCGGTGTCCCCGCGACGCTCCTGCCCGGGCAGATCGGCCTTTCTCAAGCTCTGCAACTCTGAGATGGGCGGACTCCAACTCCCAGAATCTCCTGCCCAGCCCAGCTCCTCCCTCCCAGCCGGTCTGCCGCTTTTATCCGTTCAGTGGCACCCAAGAGCCCAATTCAGCCACTCAAGACACGAGGGGGAAAAGTTGGCAAGGGGGCCGCTCAGGCCTGTTTGCCCCCAAGGCCCCCACCGTCTCCCTCTTTTGAGGGCAAAGCCCCACCGACTGCGGAGGCAGGAGGGCATTGGGGGCGCTTTCTCTGCCAGCCTCTGAAACACCTGTGCGCCCCCCCCATGGCATCTGGACCTCCACCTGAAAAGGGGATCCACCTGTAAACAGTTGGTCCGAAGGCTTGTGCCCCTTCTGTTTTGCCCCTGGCTTTGTATTTGCACTCAAAATGAACAGAAGGGGCCTTGGAGGTCTTCTAGTCCAACCCCGTGCTGAAGCAGGAGATCCTGTACCACTTCAGACAAATGGCTTTCCCACATCCTTAAAATCCCCCACCCACAACTCCTGGAGGCAATGTCCATTTGGCTTCTTTCTTCTCCTCCTGGAAATCCAGTTGCTTCAGGGGCTGTGATCATCCCCTCCCTCCCTCCCTCCCTCCCGGAATGAAAGGCCTCTTGGGGGCAGAAGATGCCAAAGGGGCTTTCTCCCAACTCCCGTCTTATCTCGAAGGGATCTGAAGATCATTTGGTCCGGCAGATCTTTGCATCCATGGTGGATGGGACACTGGCGCTTCTTTGACTTCGGTTCCGTGGGTCGTGTTTGTGGTTTCTCTTTTTTCTGTGATGTGCACCGCCTGAGGTCCGAGCATCTTGACTCGCCTTAGAATAACAGAGCTGGAAGGGACCTTGGAGGTCATCTAGTGCAACCCCCTGCCCAAGCGGGAGACCTTACACCATTTCTGACAGTCTCTTCTTGAAAAACTCCAGCGACAGAGCATCCACAACTTCTGAAGGCAACTTCTGTTCCACTGGTTGATTCTTCGCGTTTATGGCGCCCACAAATAGTAAACACCCCCTCCCCTGCTATATTGGTAAATTCTGCATTTAACAGATAAGAGATAGCAGATAATCAGACTTGGAAGGGACTCTGTAGGTCATCTAGTCCAACCCCCACCCAAGCATTCCTGACAGAGGGCAGTCCAGTCTCTTCTTGAAAGCCTCCAGGGATGAAGCTCCCAAAACTTCTGTTCCAGGGGTTGATTGTTCCCTGGGATTGGGATCCCACAGCCTCTGCCCCACTTCCTAGTTTCCTGCTCTGCAGAGGAAGAAGCTGAGCCCCCAGAAAAGCGTGCCCCCCCACCCCTTTAAGGAGAGCCTCCAGGGTTAGTCACAGCTGCAGGAGGCCTCATCCCTGGGTGGCTTCCTCTACCTAACCAGGAGGAGTGGTTGTTAAAATGGATGTTTGAATGTTGAAAGGAGTGGCTCCTTGAAGAAGACCGAGGAGAAACCGCACTGAGTTTGGGCAGCGCAGCTGTCAGCAGTGGCCTTGACTCACTTGGGTGTCAGGCCGAGAGCCACTCTTGGGGATGGCCGGGTCCTCTCTTCCCTCCACCTGCTCACAACCCCCACAGCCATCGGCTGAGCATCTGGAGGGAGAGGGGCTCATGCGGGCCGCCTGCCTCGTTCTTGGGGAAAGGAGCTCCTAGTTGCAACAACTCCAGCGTTCCGGGGACCTTCCCGTGGTGTCCCAGGGGCCCGGCTCCGCTTGAGGTGGAGTTTCTCTGAAAAAGGCCCCAGTGAGTTCCAAAGAGCCAGAAAATAGTTCAGCCTGTTCAGTTCAGAAAACAGAAACTTTTGTTCTGCTGTGAACCAGGGGCCAGAGCTCCACAGCTCTTCCTCTAAGGGTCAGCTCCCACAGACCTTCCTCTGCCCTTCCAGGGTGCAAAGCGGAAGAGTGAAGGACTTGGGGGAGGCCCTCGCTGGGGGGCGAAAAGGAAGGAGGGGAGGAAGCACCTCCAGGCCTCCTCTGACCCAAGTGGTGCCTCTCCCACAACCAGTGGGCCCCCCCCATACATCTCCTAATCTCTGCAGGGAGCCCCCCCCAACTTGCCAGGCCTGGAACCTGTGGAACCGCTGCTCTCTGGAGTGGCCCCATCAGGAGGAGCCCAGGCTCTTTGGCGCTGGGGAAAGGAGGGCTAGGAAAGGTGTTTCCACCTGGAGCTCCGGGGAGGAGCTGTCCCTTGGCAGCAGGAGCCTCGCAGGGGGAAGGTGTGGCCCTGCAGGTCAGGCTGGTATATAAGCTGCTCCATCCCTGCCGGCCCAGGAAGGGCTCTCGGGAAGCCTCCAGAGACCCACGGGGACCATGGAGGAGAAGCATGGCGGGGGCCACCGGGCCCTGCTCAACGAGGGAGAGGAGGCTGAAATGGTGAGTCTGCCCCCCGTTGCCCCCCTGTTGCCTGGGAGGCAGCCCCCCCCAGGGCTGTTCCTGCAGGGCTGCCCCCCAAGCGCCCTCTGGGCAGCCGCAGAAGCCCTGGCCATGCCGGCAGAGAGGTCGGGTGGTGGGGAGGGGAAGGCGCCCCCAGGAAAGGGGCTGAACGGCGGCAGCAGCAGCAGCGGCTCCCTCTGCACCGCCAGGCCCTCCGTGGCCCGGGCAGTGCCGAGCCCGCGGCAGCGCTTGCCGGGCGGGGGCTGCGCTGGGAAGCCCCCCCCCACCCGGGAGGGCCCGTCGGGGGTCTTCGCGGCCTCCTCTAGGGCAGGAAAGGGCCTTCATCCCCACCGGCGCTCAAGAAGCGGCCCGGGGCGAAGAGTGCCCTGCGGGCGCAACGGCGGCGCCCCCCCCCCCCGCCCCGAGCTGTAGCCCGATCCGGGCTGAACCCGCGAGGGCCGGCAGCGGCTGCGGCTGCTGCGCCGCTTCTGCCCGCCAGGTCCGGCTTGCGGGGGTGGGCGGGGGGCGGCCGGGATGGCAGGGAGGCGCTGTCCCAGCCGCTGCCCTTCGCCGTCCCGGCTGGAGCGGAGAGGCTGCCCGGCGGCTTCCTGGACGGCCGCCTTCCCCTCTGCTCTGCTGCCCCGGCCAGCATCTCCTGCCAGCCCCGCAGCCCGCTTGCCTCCGGGGCGGCCAGCCGCCTCTGTCCTACCTGGGGGGGCTTCCAACGGCGGGGCCCGCCCTGCCCTAACGCCGGGCTGGGCTGGGGGGCTTCCGGCGGCCGCTTCTGCCGGCCAGTCACTCCGCGGGAACAGTTGCATGGAAGGGTCGGTCGGCGTCCTGGGGAAACCTCGCGCCCAGCCGACCTTCCCCGGCCGCCGTCTGCTCTGTTCGGGCCGAGCGGGGAGCGTCCCAGCCGAAGCCCGGCGCCAGAGCTCGCCTCGCCTTCTCTCCGCCCGGGGGCAGCCCGCCTCGCGGCCCTTCGGGAGCGGCGCAGGGGCACCGTTCGGGGGGGGGCGACGGGGGGGGCACCGCAGGCCCTTTTTCGGGAGGGGTGGCGGTGGCGAAGGTGCCCGGTCTCCCTGCCTGCCCCGGAGGACAGGCACGCTTTCCAAGTGATACAGTTCACTTTCATTTTCAGCACTTAGCAATGCCAAGGACTCAAGAGAAACCCACCATGTTGCATTTAATTTTATATTAAATTAATCTAATCTAATATAAATATAAGATTTAATTTAATTAGTATACAATTAAGTTTATTAAGGTTAATTGAAACTAATTTAACTAATTTTATATACCACCCATCTTGCCGGCGCAAGGGACTGTGGGCAGCTTGTTTCATGGGGTCAGATATCCAGCACAGGTGCAGGTATGAGGGAGGGTGTCCACAGGGTGTGGTCACAAGGGCTGCAGCCGTGTGACTAACAGGTGTCTGTCACTGCAGCCACCCTGGTCTCAGACTGCTCCCTGCAGGCTCCCCTGTTCCGAGTGCTGAAGTTTAGACCAGGTGCCCAGCCTGCCCTGCCCGCTTGTGGCCCTTCCCCCTTGGACAGTCACTGCGTCTCAGCCCTGTCCTACCTCCGCTTTCCTCCTGGGAGGTTGTCCTGCTGCAGAAGCAGCCAAGCAGCAGCAGAGAAAGGCAGGCAGGCAGCAGCAGCCCAGGAGGCTCTGGATCTGGAGGCCATCTGTGGCCAAGGCACCCAGGAGGAGCCCATTGAAGGGTTGCGCAAGGGGCTCCTGGGCGGCCATTGGGCGGCCCAGCTGCAGAACCCCCCCCCCATTCCTCCCCCAGAGGAGCCTCTTTCCCAGCTGAGCCTCTGCTGCGGAGGTGCTTCTTTCTGGGAGACTGAGACGGGGGTGTGGACCGTCCCAAGACCCCCTGGGACATCTCTTGCGGGCCCAGGGTCTACGATGAGCCTCTCCAGGATCCAGCTGCCCCCCGCGCCCCGTGGATGCCTTCACTTGGGCTTACCCTCCCCCAGAGGCCCAGACTTGGAGCCTCCCCGGACTGGGGATGGGCCGCCTCCTGCCACCCTCGGCCCAGTCCCCTGGGGGCTGGAGACCGAGGCCAGCCCTGCGCCCCGGAGGCCCTCCCGGTCTTTGGGTTCGGAGACGCCTGCCAGAAAATAGGCCAGAGTCCGTTTCTCCCCCCCCTCCCAGGCAGAAGAAAAAGCCGGCAATTAAAAGAAATGCAGGACCAGCAATTACAGCAGCGATTAAAGCAATTAAACCACAGAGATGAAAAACCAGGGAGAGCCCCAGAGAGGAGGCCCCACCCGGGAGAACCGGTCACTTCCTGCCTGGCTGGGAGGGAATTCGCTGTGCCGCCGGCTGACATTGGCTGCCAGATTCCTTGCACAGACCTAGGCTGGACCTCCGTTCCCATCCTCCTGGGCCTGGACCCGTAGCACCCAGGGCAGCCTGGGGGAGGGAGGGAGGGATGGAGGATGCAGGTGACCTGCAGCTTTTCTGGAGTGACCCCTCGGGGGAAATGGGGACAGCAAGAGGGCAGGAAGGGGAAGCCCCACTCACAGCACTCGCTTAGTGACTGTTTGAAGTCACGACGGCACTGAAGAAAGTGACTTGTGACCGTTTTCCACATTATGACCGTTGCAGCAGCCCCAGAGTCACGCGATTTACATTTGGATGCTTATCAGCTGACTCGCGTTTATGACGGCCGCCATGTCCCAAGGTCACATCATCCCCTTTTGGGACCTTCTGACAAGCAGAGTCCATGGAAAAGCCGGATTCACTTAACGGCCCTGTTACTAATTTAACAGCTGCAGTGATTCACTTAACGGCTGCAGCAAGAAAGGTCATAAATTGGGGCAAAATTCACCTAACTGTCTCACTTAACAACATATGTTTGGGGCTCAGTTGTGGTCGGAGGTCGAGGGCTGCCTGTAGAAGCCCCTCGCCCACCGCTTTGCCTGAAGTTTCCCTTCCCTAAACTGGGTGGAATATTTATTTATTTATTTATTTATTTGTCAAGCAATTATGAGATAATAGGTATAAGTAAAACAATAGGTATAGGTATAAGTAATAGGTATAGTTATGAATACATGGATACATATGTGAATTCCCTTCGTTGTCGGCTCCCCTTCATGGCCCCTCTGTGCTTCAGGCCCCCGGCTGCCAGACGTCCTTGTGCCCAAAGCGGAGCTGGCCAGGGGGCTAGGAGGGCCGGCCCTGAGGGGTCTCCGAAGAACCTGTCCCCACAAGCAGCCTGAGCCCAAACTCACTTTGCCCACCCCAACGTCCCCTTGCTCCCCGCCTCTCGTGGACGCAGCCTGCGGGGGTTTCCAGAGAATGGATTTCCTGCTCACCTCTGGCCAGGGGAGTCAGCCAAAGAGGTGCTGCCGCTCGAAAGTCAACAAACAGGTTTCTACCAAAGGATCCCCATTTTTCCCATCCAGCAGAGATTGCCACCTCCTTCCGAGAGGAAGCATCATAAATCCTTCCTTGATCGATAGGGTCACCCTTCCTCCTCCTCCCTTCCAGCACTGATGATGTCTCCTAGTTCGGTCATGAAACACCTGCAAGACAGCCGCCCAGCTCAGGGGCACCAAGGACCCCTCAGCCCGGCTCCTGCTCCTCCTGCTCCTCCTGTGATGCTTGACAAATACCTCCCAAATACCACCCCAGAGCCAGAGCTCCTTCCCCCAGGCAGCAGCAGGAGCTCTGGGGTCTTGGGCAGCAGCCCCGTTTCCCTCTGACTTGCGGATGCCAACCTTGGATCTGGGATCTGCCGTGTGTCACTCGTGGCTACGTAGGGATTCTAGGCCGATTCCCCTTTTCCCTCCACCCCCAGGTCCCACCGTCTCTCCTGCTGCTTGGTGGCTGCTTTGAGAATCGCCACAGGACGGGTTTTCGGGAGGGTTGAGCCTTGGCGCGGACTGAGGGGGAAGGGCTCCCTTCACGGCAAAGTCTTTCTTCCCAGGAGGTCTTTGGCTACAAGACCGGGGGCTTCCGGAGGGCCCTGTGCCTGGCTGGCTACGTCCTGTCCTGCGGAGGCCTCCTGCTTCTCTTCCACTGGAAGCCCGAGTGGGACGTCTGGGCCAACTGCCAGCCCTGCAGCTTGGAAGAGGCCGATGTGGTGCTGCTCCGGAGCACGGTAGGTGCCTCCCTCCCTCCCTCCCTCCCTTCTCGTGGGATCTTGCTCTCCAAAGGAGAATATTTGTAGCTTGCGGGGCGCGGGTACAGTGAGGGGTCCCTGGTGCCCTCTGAGCTTGGCTGCTTCCTTGCAGACGTTTTGTTACCCAAAGTAGGTGACGCCATCGGTGCTCATCGTGCTTAACTGCCAAAGAGGGGGAGGAAATGAAAGAAAAACAGAGGAAGGAATTGCAGTTTTGCAATCCTGAAAAATTATTGGGGTTTTGAAACCTGGGCGGATCTCGCTTTCAACCTGGAACCTCTTTTTTCCTGGATCCAGTCTCCTCTCCTCACCCGACTCAATCAGCCTTGCCTCCTTTCAGCCACGGAGGGCTGTCCCGGAGAGACCCACGAAGGGTTTCCAGGAAAAACGGGCCCAGTTGGAGAGGAAGATAGAAAGAACCGGAAGGACTTCACAGAACTGAGGGATGGAGGGCCGGGATCATTTGTGTACTAGCATCAGATTTTGGCCAGGGAAAGTTTCATCGCAACCTTCAGCTAAAACTCTAGAACAGCGTGTGGACTTCCACTCCCAGAATACCCCAGCTACCCCTACTGGCTGGAGTAGTCTGGGAGTTGACCCACCGTCAAATGGAGATGGTTGGGAAGCACTGACCTGGACCAGAGGCCCCCAAACTTGGCCCCTGTGGTCTTCAACTCCCGGAATGAGCCCTAAAATCGCCAGGTTTGAGGCCCTCTGGCCTAGACGGGCATTAATGCCACCCAGGAGGGGCTCCTGCGAAGAGGACGCTCAGGAGAGTGGGCGGCTGCTGGTCCGCGAGGCTGGCCCTGGGTCCGACTGCAAGCAGCCCTCCGGTGCACCTGGCGGGAAGGGGGCCACTCCACCTGGCCTCAGCAAAGGGCCTGGCTGGGGGGCTCCGGGGAAGGGATTCTCCTGCTCTCCTGGCCTGCGTTGTGTTCCTCCACAATTTTGGCTCTCTTTCTTCAGGATGAATTTCAGATTTGCACCCGGAAAAAGGTGACCTGGATCCCTCTGTCCACCCACCTGAAGCCCAGCTCTCTTGCCACGGAGGACGAGGAGTCGCTCCCGAACAGGGTCATTGAGAAGCCCGGGTTCAAGGTAATCCTGGACTCTCGCCGTCTTGTGGGGTTCTAGAAGCCTTCAAGAAGGACGGAAGGACGGGACGAGAGATACAAAGCTGGTGGGTTGCTCTGCCCACTCAGCCACCCTCCCGGGCCTGGAGAGCGGCTGGTGGTCCTGGCTGGAGCGGGCCAGAGCCAAGCCTTTAATCCTCTTACCGGGCTCAGCCGAGGGAGGGGGGCCCGGCCAGGCTTCTCCCGGGAGCTGCTGGGAGGTGAAGCCAGGATAGGTCTCCTGCCCTGGCACCGCAGGGCAGAAATCCCCCCGAGGCTCTCCCTCCCTCGGACCCCCAGCGCCCCTCAGCCACAGGCATCCCAGGGGAGACGGGGAGGCTGCAGTTGTGTCCCACACCTTGGTGGGGAGCCAGGTGGGAGGAGGTGGCCCCAACTGGCCCTGCGGAGGGCTGGACGAGGCCTGCCTTGCTTCTCGGGGTTAGGTGGTGGCTTTAACGGGCCTGGGGGCCTTTAAAAGAAGCTTCTGGGGCGAGAAAGAAGCGGAACGTTGTCAAGGGAAACCCCCCCCCCCCCAAGAAAGTCCAGTTGCCTTTCGGGAAAAGTCTCTTTTTCCCCAACGGGCTTTTTTTTTTGCCAGAAACTGGAAGTAAATGCTAGAAACAGACAAAACAAAACCCTTTTCAAATTCTTCTTCTTCTTGTGACCACCGGATGTTGCAATCAGCCATAAATGCAGTCAGGCTGCCCTGGGCCCAAATGTGGCCAGGTGACCCCTGGGCTTCACAGCTTCATGTTTGGAAGTACAGCTGCCCACAAGTCTGTCGTGAGTTCGAGTGGTCATTAAGTGAGGAACATCTGTCACGGTTTTCCTTCCCCTCCCTCAAGCTCCCCAGCGGCTTCACCTCTCCCCTAAGCCTAAAGTTTGCTGTGGTTCCCCCCGTCCCCCCCCCCACTCACTGTGCCTGCTGCCCTTGTTGGCTCCGCAGGTGCGATCCCTCCAGGTGCAGAAGATCCGGTACGCCTGGGACTTCTCTGCTCGAGAGTTCCGGAAAGTGGGGTGAGTCCGGCTTTGGCCGCCGAGGAAGGAGGCTCAGCCGAAGGAGGCCGGGCTCCTCCACCACCCCCACCGCCCGCTGGGTCCTCTTCTCTTCCAGAGCCCTGGAGGACCACTACAGCCCCCTGGAGATCCATGCCAAGTTTGGGGCAGGGCTGACGAGCGCCCAGCAAGAGCTCAGGTATTCCCGCTCAGCACGGCCAGCAGCGCACCTGGTCAGGCAGGAAGCCCTGTTGGGGGGTCCAGGGCTCACCTGGCCCCCCAGGTGTAGGGAATGTCTTTGCACACGAGGTCCAGCAAGGGGAGGAGCCTGCCGTGGCTCTTTAGGGGAACACCATCCCGGTGGGCTTCCCCTCCCAGGCCGAGGCCTCTGCCAGACACGGGGGCCCTTCCTGAGCCGCCCGCTCAGCTTCTGCAGGCCTCGGCTGGGTTGAAGTAGCGCTCCAGGGGGCGTCTTCCACTTAGGGAGGATTCGTGTTGATGTCTTTTGATCTGCAGGTTCCCGTTGAAGTCATTCGAGGTGTCCCCAATAGAAGAGAATCTCTGTAGCTCAGGGTTGAACTGGGGGGGTCCTTGGCGCCCTCTGAGCTTGGAGGTTTTCTTGCAGATGTTTCAGGACCCAACTAGGGAACCACATCAGTGCTAGGAACCTCACCAAAAATATTGCCTAGCTGGGCCATGGAACGTCTGCCAAAAGCCGCCCAGGCTCCGCCGGCACCAAGGACCCCTCGCGTTTGCGGTCTCACCTACTGACAGCTCCCGGAGCAGCATTTTGGGCAGGGGGTGGGCTACAAAAACACAGGCGGATAAGGGAAGTGAGGGGGCAGCTCCCAGCTTCCAGAGGGGGGGGGAGGGCAGGCCTAATTTGGGAAGGAGCTGATGCTCCCCCCCCTCCAGGCCTTCCAAGGCCAGGCTCTGCTCCAGGAAACACAGGCAGCTGCACACCCGACAGCAGAAGCCGCCCCAAGCCAACTCCACCCTTTGGGAGGAGCCACTAGGCAACCTCTGGGGTCTCCCCTTCCCAGAGCAAAAGGGGCTCCGGCCACCTGCAGGCTCCGAAGTGGCTTTGGTGTTGGCCTTGGAGGGGACCCCGGGGTCACCCCTCCCTCTTCCCTATCCACAGGAGAGAAATCTCTGGCCCCAACGCCATCGACATCGAAGTCACTCCGGTCTGGAAGCTGCTGGTCAAGGAGGTACGTCTCTTTCTGTGGGTCAAGGCAGAGGGTGGCTGTCTTGGGCCTCCCTTTCATCCCCATGCAGAAAGGATGACCTTGTCCTTCCGCACCTGAATAGAATAGAGCTGGAAGGGACCTTGGAGGTCTTCTAGTCCAGCCCGCTGCTCAAGCAAGGAACCAGTTCAGACCAATGGCTGTCCATTCTCTTCTTAAGAGCCTCCGGCGATCGAGCTCCCGCGACTTCTGGAGGCCACGTCTGTTCCACTGGTTCTGCGTCCTCCCTGTTAGGAACCCCCCCCTTAATTCCGGGTTGCTCCTCTCCGCGATCAGGTTCCGCCCGTCGCTCCTTGTGCTGCCTCTGGGCCTTTGGGGGAGCAGCCTGACCTCCAGCCTTCCGTGGACGGTCACCCCCACCGTTGGGGCCAATGAATTTTCAGCCCTGCAGGGATTGATGCACCTTCCCGGGAGGGGCTCAGGGGATCTCTGCCCCGAGGTCTCCCATCGCCCCTTGCGCCCTTTGCCAGCGACCTCGTGGCCGAGAGGAAGGACCTGGGAGGACGTGGGTGGGCCCGAGGGGCAGGGGGCTCCTACCAATTCGGCTCAGCCGGAGAAGGTTCCCTTACGGGCACCACCGGCATAGGTGCCAACCCCCCTGAGCAGCCACGCGGAGCAGCCCTGGCGTAATCATGGCAAAGCTACGTTTCCTGCTGCTTTCTGGGAGCCAGATTAGCCGCTCACTCAACAAAGGGTTTATTCACCCAGGACGTTCCGTCTTCCCCGCAGCAGCCAGTCTTGTTTCTGAGCAATTCCTGTGACGAGTTTCTGAACCCGCTCAAGGCGTTTAATCTTAGTTAAAATCCTGCTTACCAAAGGGAGGGACACCACCCTGCACTCAGCCATGCGGGGGGGGGGGCTGTCCGAAGGCCCCGTGCCTTGGTCACAGCTGCAGGTGCAAGGGGGGGCTACCTCTGCTGGGAGATGCCTTTTGGCTGGGCAAGGAGTCAAGGACGGTGCACCGTTCACACGTGGTCTGGAGGCAGCTTCTGTCCCTCTGGCTGATCGTTCTCACTGACAGATAATTCCTAATATTTTCATCCTTTTCCTGATAGAAGTTCCTCCCCAGTTCCAGGTTGCTTCTCTCCTCGGTTAGTTTCTATCCGTTGCTTCTTTTGCTGCCCTCTGGGGCTTTGGAGAACAGGTGGGCCCCCTCCTCTTCCTTGGGGCAGCCCCTCAAATGCCGAAATGCTGCTATCCTCTCCCCCCCCACCCCGGTCCCTCTCTTCTCTAGCTAGACATCTCCAATTCCTGCAGCTGTTCTTCATATGGTGTCAGTCTCCAGTCCCCGACTCACCTTGGTTGCTCTTCTCTGCAGGCTTTCTGGGTTCCCAGCCTCCTTTTTGGGTATGGTGGGGGCCTGGCCTAACCCCCAGGTGCCTTCCTTTCTTCCCCAGGTGCTCCACCCGTTTTACATCTTCCAGGCCTTCAGTGTCTGCCTGTGGTTTGCAGAGAGTTACTCCGAGTATGCGGTGGCCATAATCATCATGTCCCTCCTTTCCATCTCACTCACTGTCTATGACCTCAGAAAGGTGAGCACCCACCTGTCCTACTCTGCTCACCAAATCTCTGTCTCACCTTCCCGGACAGCTGCCCCTCCCGATGCTGCCACCCAGGGTTGACTCAGCCCTGCAGGAGCTCAAATTCATGGGGCTTCTGCTGGGTTGGAGCCTTGGGCTGCCCCTCAGGTGCCTCCTGCATCTGGGTGAAGGTGGCCAGCTGTTTCAGGAGTCTCCCAACATTCGTGGGGCAGTTTCTGGCGGCCTCCTTGGGACAGCGGGTGATCTGGGTTCAACAAAATGGCTCCAAAGCACAAATCGTGGGTAGACCAAGAGATGACTCCTCCTCCTCCTCCTCTCCTTCTTCTCCTTCTCCTTCTTCTCCTCTTCCTCCTCCTCCTCCTTCTCTTCCTCCCTCCTCCCTCCTTTTTCCTTCTCCTACCCCTCCCTTCTCTTTCCTTGCCTTTATTTTCCAGGAACTAGAGAAGATCCCTTCAGAGATTCTTCCCACTCCCGATTCCTTCTGGGGGCTGGGGTATCCCTTATCTGGCCATCGCCCTGGCCGAGTCTCTTCCCACTCTGATCTCTCCAGGATATTCTAAAAGACCGCGGCCTGTTAGCTGCTGGCACCTTTCTAACCGCCTGGCAGAGGCCTTGCCCACCTGCCCATTGGTTGGCACGTCTTCCCGTCCTTCTCTTTCCTGACCCAATTCTTCCTTTCCTCCCAACACAGCAATCTGTGAAGTTGCACCAGCTGGTGGAATCCCATAATAGTGTCCTGGTCAAGGTGTTCAGGAAAGAGACAGGTAAGGCAGCTCAAGAGGTTCATTTTGTCTGTGTGTCCGAGCCAGGGATGAGAGAAAGCCCCGAGGAGGTTACAAAACTGAGTTCAGACGACTCACAACAGAATTTTCCAATAGTTCTTTGGTGTTATTCAAACAAAAGGCAAGCGTGCAATGAAGCTTAACCAGTTCCTTTATAGTTATACATGTACAATATAACTGTGTTTATTGTTTGTCCAATTTCAAAGTCAGCTTTGAATAAGCTACACCCGACTAGGCTATTGAGAAGTTGTACCCATCAAGGCTACTCAAGTTGCTCCAAGTGTTGCTGCCCAACTGGTCCCTTGTCAAGGCTGACTCGGATTCTCAGCTTGGCAACAGAAAAAGAAGGGAGGGGCTGGGAGTTCTGGGGGGGTTGGGGGGGGGGGCGGGGGGTCCCAGGGGATCCAGCTGAGCCTGAGAAAGTTCCTACGCTTCAAGGTCTTGTTGGGGGAACTTTTCCAACGGCGCAGGCTGTTTCCCGAAACACCAGCCATGTGGTGGATTCTTGGGCAATGGGCAGGGATTTACCTGCGCTGCTTCCCAAGGGAACCTTTAGAATTATTGGCTTTGCTTCTTCTGTGCCTCGATGGATCCATCCGTAAAGTGACCCTCTTGGCAAAATTGTGTCCCAGGAGTTTCTTTTCCTGCAAAGGCCAGAGGGGCAGTTGGCAGCTACACACTCACACAATGCCCACCTTCACCCTCACACAGGCGATCAGGGTGCGTTCGAGAGGGCTGGGACGCCGACTCAGGGCCTCCCCGGCTCCCACAGGAGTTGCCTTGCACTTCACAGGGACCTGGGTTCCTCCTTCCAGTCTTCTCTTGGTCCCCACCTTGGTTACTCTGAACTCACGTGTAGGGGCCACATCAGGGACCCCACTGTCAGGGTTCCAGAAATTGCCCGTTTCAATCAGTAACTCCGAGACAAACAGATTCTCAAAGTGCTTTATTAAAAACAGAAACTTGGCACGTCTGTGAGATCCCGAAACTAAAGTTTCCTCCCAGACTTCCCACAATACTCAATCAACACCCACCTCTTTTTTTCCACATCGTATATCATAGTCCATCATATTATCATTGATGTACTAGCCGGTTTTAGTAAACTGCTATGGAACACTGGGTGAATTTTTCCCAATAGCCAGGGAAGAGTTAGTTGGACCGTGATCGGATTGATTATTTCTGAAATTGGGAATGGACCAAAGAATTTAGGTCCCAATTTCTTACTAGGAAGTTTCAATTTAAGATATTTAGTTGACAAATATACTTTGTCTCCTACTTTAAATGGTGGTTGGATGGACCTATGTTTGTCTGCTTGCTTTTTGTAATCGTTTGTGGCTTCAGTCAAAGCTTTTTTCATGTTCTCCCAACCTTTTTTTAATGAGTTCATCCATTCTGTTACAGAGATGGGTGTAGGAGGTTCTCTAGGTAATTTTTGACAAATTCCATCCCAGTGTTGATTTGGAATGGAGTCAACCCTACGCTGCTATGTACTGCATTATTATAAGCAACCTCTGCAAAGGGCAATAATTCAGCCCAGTTTTCCTGTTGATAATTGACATAGCATCTAATGTGTTGTTCCACCATGGCACTCACCCTCTCTGCGGCTCTGTTGCAGGCTGGATGGAATGCTGAGGATAACCCTTGGGAGGGCCCAATAGACTTTTAAAAATTCCCTCCAAAATTTAGCAATAAATTGTACCCCTCTGTCTGATATTATTCTATGAGGTACTCCATGTAGCCTATAAATATGCTTCACGAACAGTTTTGCAAGCTTTTCTGCAGATGGAAGTCCTTTACAGGCTATAAAGTGGGCCTGCTTAGAGAATAAGTCAATAACAGTCCAAATGATTGTATTCCCTCCGCTCTCAGGTAATTCTACGATAAAGTCCATTGCGATTTCTTCCCATGGCTGTGTTGGTTTAGCTACTTGTTGGAGGAGACTGGGTTTTTTTTTTCAGTTCTGTGTTCCATCGTGGACAAATTGAGCAACTTTTTACATAGTCCTCGATGTCAGGTTTCATTTTTGGCCACCAGAACTGTCTTCTGACTAAATGTGGGGTTTTTAAGAACCAGAAATGTCCCCCCACCCGCAAGTCGTGGCTACGTTTTAGTACCATTAGCCTTAGGGTTGTGGGTACATACAGTTTAATCCCTTTCCAAGCCAGTTCTTCATTGATTGTTAATTTGGGTTGATGTTCCACAAACCAGGGATCGGTCAATAGGGCTGCTTTCAATTCTGTGGTCAGTTTGTCTTCCAGGTGTTTGGGGTTGCCTCGAGTGGTTACTTGGCCTGCCAATTGAGGTTCTGATATCAAAGCCTGTACTGTTTCCTCTCGGTAACTGTCAAACTGGGGTTTCCTGGACGGGGCATCTGCCAATATGTTTTTCCCTCTGGGGATATATTTCAGGTTGAAGTTGAATGGTTTGAAATACTGAGCCCAGCAGATTTGTTTAGGGGATAGTTTCCGAAGTGTCTTTAGCGCTTCTAGGTTTTTGTGATCAGCCCATACCTCAAATAGCTCCTTCACCCCTTCTAGGAATTGCCTCCGAGTCAACAAAGCCCATCTTACTACAAATGCTTCTTTCTCCCAGACCTCCCATCTTCGCTCTGTGTCCGTTAGCCTTTTGGACACACAAGCTCAAGGCATCAGTCGGTTCTGAGAGTCCTTTGGTAGCAGAATGGCCACTACTGCCACATCACTAGCATCAGCTTGGACTATAAAAGGTTTGGTCGGATCTGGGTGTTGAAGAATGGGTTCAGCTGCAAAAAGGCCTTTTAGAGTTTCAAAAGCTTCCTGACAGTCCATTGTCCAAGCACGGGGTTGGCTGGGTTTTGGGTTGAGGGGGGAAGGCCCCATTTTTAACAAATCCATCAAAGGGAGAGCGAACTCAGCAAAAGAAGGAATGAATTGTCTACAAAAATTGGCAAAACCCAGAAAACTTTGAAGTTGCTTGTGTGTTTTGTGGGGTTGCCAATCCAGTACGGCTTTCACTTTTTCCAGATCCATTTCAATTCTCTGGCTGGATATTCGGTAACCCAGGTAATCCAACGACTCCTTGTGGAATTAGCATTTTGATAGTTTTACGTATAACTTGGCAGCTAGAAGGTTTTTCAGCACTTGCCTGACCAATTTAATGTGTTCTTTGATGTTTTGCTGAATATAAGGATGTCACTCAGGTAGACTAGGACCCCCTTGTACAAGTGCGGATGTAACACTTCATTGATGAGTTTTATAAATACTGCGGGGCCTCCTTGGAGTCCAAAAGGCATGATTCCGAATTGGAAACTACCTAAAGGGTAGTTGAAGGCTGTTTTCCATTCATCTCCTTCTTTTATATGGACTCTGTAGTATGCCTCCCTCAGCTCTATCTTGCCTTTTGACAGGTGGTTTAACAAGTCTTTCATGAGGGGGAGAGAGTACATGTTTTTGACGCACACAGCGTTTATGCCCCTAAAGTCGACACATAATCACAACCCGCCACCTTCCTTTTCCTTGAACAGCGTGGGGGCAGCTAACCTTGATTTGGCATGTTCAATAAAACCTCTGTCCAAACTGTTATCAATATATTTCCTCAGTTTGGTCATTTCAGCTGGTGTCATGGAATACATCTTTGGTTTTGGTAGTTTTGCCCCAGGTTCTAATTCTATGACGCAATCAGTTGCTCGATGTGGAGGTAAAACACTACATTCCTCTTCACCGAATGCTTCAGCCAAGTCTCTGTATTTTTTGGGTATTTGGGGAGTACCTGGGAGAAAGTTCGAGGCTGTGGCTGCTGTTTCAGGTTTTGGATTCGAGTCGGGTGGTGGATTTTTGTGGGAGGAAGGGGGGGCAGTGGGCCCACCCCAATAATGATTTTCCTGAATCCATCTTCCCACTTGATGGCAGGGGCCCATTTATCTAGCCAAGCAAGTCCCAATATGATCGATTCTGACATTCTCGGAGCCACTTAAAGAATATGAGTTCATGGTGAGGACCCATTTCCATTTTGAGCAACTCTGTCAATTGGGTTGCTGGGGTTCCCCCAATTAATGTCCCACCCACTTGTTCAAATCTGATTGGGTGTCTTAGTGGGTTAGTCTATATGCCCAATTGTTCAACTATGGGAAGCCCAATAAGACATCTAGAGCATCCAGTATCAATGACAGCTTCTAACTCCCCTGCCTCCCTGTGTTAGGTACCACTAACTTGACTTTGACAGTAAAAGGTATGATGGGAGCACTCACCATTGGGTCATCTTCATCGGTCAGGTTCTCGGGGAGGTGGTGTTGGTCTGGAAGTTTGTTTCTCCCTTCTGCATAGAGAGGACCTTCCAGGATGTGCTTAGCAAATCGGCTAGTGTCAGGAGGTTTCCCTTTAATTTTTTGACCTCTGACAGCTGTGGTAGACTTTGGTTGTGGTGCTTGTGGAACCGGTGCGGGAGCCAGACAGTCAGCTGCTCTATGGCCATCTTGGCTACAACGGTAACATTTTTATTCTGTTGGGTCCGATGTGGGTAGCTTCAGCAGGTTTGGTCAGTGGTCGTCTGGTCACTGATCTCTTAGGCAGGCCTTCCGGAAGGGGTTTTTTATGGGGGTTGATATCGTGGTCTAGTCTGAGCGTGGTGGCATACTATGCTTGCAAAGTCTCTGGTATTCTCCTAATATTACAGGTCTTCTTTACTTCTGGGTCAATGGTGTTCTTAAACTAGTGTAAGGTCGTTCTTTCAGGCCAATCCCTGAGATGGCTTGCGATCCTTCTAAAGTCCCAAATAAAGTCTGATAAGGGTCGTTTGCCCTGTTTCATTTCCATTAACTTCTCTTCGTTTTCTGCCACCCTGTCTGGATTTTCAAATCTGAGTCTCAATAATAGAATAAATCCATTGACATCATGTAATTCTGGGGCTTGTTCGTCGTGTAGCTGGGCCACCCAGTCAGAAGCATCCCCTTCATTCATCCCATCTGTTATTGCAGGAACCAAATCGCACTCTGTCACATATTGGTCTCCAAATTGGTCTATGTGGGACCAGATTCAAGTGAGGAAGTAAGAAAAATGCTTATGGTGCCTGTCAAAAATGGCCTTCCACTGTATCTGGTCTGGTCTGGTCTGGTCTGGTCTGGGTCGTGGGTGGGGAGGGGGTACTGGCCTGGCACCTGCAGGTTGAGCTGGAATGAAAGGAACCTGACGAGGTGTGTATCTAGATTGGGCAGGTCTTCTGAGGCCTGGCTGGGGTGTGTCTCTCTGTCAGAGGGGCCTCTGCAGGGTTGCTCCAATTGGGGGTTGAATGAGTGGTTGCCATGAGGGTGGTGGGTATTGCCTCATTCTCTGCCTGAGTGGAGGGGGAGTGACTGCTGTCTGCTCTATGGGCGGAGCCCCTTGTGCGTCAAGGATTGCTGACTCCCCTTGGGACCAGGGCTGGGTTGGTGCCGGCCTCCATTGGCACTGAATCCACCCCTGGCCTGGATAAAACCCCCACCCTGGAGGGATACTCTCTTAAGGGGGCAAACGTCTTTCAGGGTGTTGGGGAGGACGACTTGGAGGTTGCCACATCTCTCTTGTAGCCAGCACCTCTGGTCACCGTGGGCTGTCATGCTGGGCCTCTCCAACTGGCCTCTGGGCAATTTCCTCTTCCCTCGTAACACTTGGGAAAGAAATATTGAGGAAGAAAAGGGAGAAAACCTTAAAGAAATTATGACAGAAATACTAGCGGAACCTTTGGAGATGACCAAAGAAAAGGTCATGAATGGAATGGATGAAATATATCAAGTATTTACCAGATATGCAATGAGAAACAAATTACCCAGAGAAGTACGTGTGAGATTTACCAAGAAAACAATAAGAACTGAGATACTGCAGGAGGCGAGAGGCAATCTATTGAAGTACAAGGGAAAAAACATTATAGCTTGAGACTTTCAAGAAGAGATTGGACTGCCATTTGTCAGAAATGATGTAGGGTCTCCCGCTTGGGCGGGGGGGTTGGACTAGATGACCTACAAGGTCCCTTCCAAGTCTGATTATCTGTGTCTAGCCTTGAAACAAATACCAAGAAAAGTGAGAGATTTAAGAAGAGAGAATCAATTCTTGACAAAGATGTTAATAAAAAAAGAAATTAACTATAGATGGTTGATTCCGGAAGGTTTGACATTTATTTGGAGAGAACAAAGACACAGAATTGACTCGGTGGGAGAGTGCAGAATTATTCTATGATGAATACTTTGGAGCAGTGATCCTCAACCACCAGGCCCCAGACCGGTACCAGTCCATGGATCATTTTGTACCGGGCCGCCTATTTTGCTTGGGTGCCGCCATCTTGTTTCGACGGCGCTTGAAAAAGTGCTTCTGGGTGAGCTTGTCAGTCATTGGTTAGAAAGTGGCACTTGGGTGCTGAAGGAATCCTCACACCTTAGTTTCATCGAGGGGGGGGGCGGCTTTGAACGAAGAGCCGTCCTGATCGTGGTGGAGTCTCGCGTTACTCAGGAGGAGATTAAGAAAGAGCCCGAAAAGCCCATCGACCGCGAGAAGGTACAAAGGAGGAGTTGAAGGTGGTGGGGAGAAGCGGGGGACGGCTGGCTGGCCGGTCACTCGGCTCGGCTTGCCTTGGTCGTGTGCGTGCTGATGCCGGTACTGGTCCGTGGATCATTTTGTACTGGGCCGCTTTGGAGGATCAGAAGATGAGAGAGCAAGAGAAGAGGAACTTAAAATACGAGCAGAAATGGCAGTGGAAATGGAGAAGGAACAAAGGGAGGAGAGGAGACAGGAGGAGGGAGCAGACAGACAGATTCTCAGAGTGCTTTAGTAGAAACAGAAACTTGGCACATCTGTGAGATCCCGAAACTAAAGTTTCCTCCCAGCCTTCCCACAATACTCAATCAACACCCACCTCTTTTTTTCCACATTGTATATCACGTGAACCAATCACCCTTCAACTCCAATTCTTGCTGCGCCATAGAGAATGACCTTGGCAGTCTTGCATATCTATTATGTCTACTGAAAACTACTCAAACAACAATAGCGCCCCCCCTTCCATCCTCCGTAGCTGTGTGGCAGCTTTTAACAGGGATTCCAAAGCTGACACCCACATTCCCACTCGTTGCTCTGTGACTCCGTGGAAAATGCCACCCATGGCATTCCTTGTGCCCACTAATGTTCCACCTGGTATCCTCAGCAACAATCCACCTCCATGTACATACGCAGGACTAGAGAGACACGCATTCCAGCAACAGGAGTTTCCTGGTGGGTTCACGAATGGACTATTTAAGGTTGTAACACGGGCCCACTCTACTCACGACTTATTCTAGTGCGCATTATACATCGTGCGTCACATTTGTCATCTATCCATAGCATAAAATATACAATAGATAGCAAGGAGGCACGGGGCCAGAACCAGAACTTGCTGGACCCCCTCAGTAGCTGCAGAGCTGTGGGTGAGGGGCCTGCCTGGGAGAGGCAGCACCCCAAAGGCAGGAGCTAGAAAGGGGGGGGGGGGGCAAAGAAAGGCCAAGGGGGGGAACCCGGGCCTTCCTTGGGGGGGCCCCTTCCCCCCCCCAAGAGACCCAAAGGGCTGCAAGGCGACGGTTGCCTCTTGCAAAAAGCCCCCCCCTCAAAGGCTCTCCTTCCCCACAGGCGCCCAGGAGGTGGAATCTCGCCATCTGGTGCCCGGGGACATCCTGGTCCTGGACGAGGGCAGAAGCTTGATGTCCTGCGATGCCCTCCTGCTCAGCGGCCAGTGCGTCGTGAATGAAGGCATGCTGACCGGTAAGTGGCGGGACGGCCTCTCCCACTGCTCGGCCCAAAGTCTCAGCACACAAAGGGAGGGAGCAGCATCCCAGGTTTTTTGGGGGGGAGGGGGGAGAGTTCTGCCTCAGGAGAGGGCGTTACACCCCCAGCGCCCCCCCTCCCCCCATGGCAGCTACGTGCAGCCTGCTTGGTTAGGATCCGGGCGGGGGCAACAGGAGAGTAAGCAGAAGAAACTTGCCAGGCCCTGGGGATTAAGCCCAGAGAAGCCTGAACGTTGCTGTGAACATTTTGAACTGTCTTGTATTTCATGCACAAACAGCGTGCCAAACCGAAGGGTGGTTGTAGTGCTGGGTGTATGATATTGTGAGGAATTGCCGGGTGCCGAAGACCAGGCCCACAAACGAAGGTTCAGCTAAAGGGATGCATTGCTAAAAGCCTCTGCATGATTATCCAGCGGAGCCGAAGTTGCCTCCAGGCCAATTGTGGGAGCTGCATCGCTGGAGGCGTTAAAAGGAGACCGGAGAGCCATTTGTCTGAAACGCTTGAGGGTCTCCTGCTTGAGCAAGGGGTTGGACTAGAAGACCTCTGAGGCCCCCTCCCAACCCCCTTATTCCGTTATTCTTGCCTTGCAATTGCCGCAAGAACACGGCCCAGGGATACATGTCAAGGGCCCCCATGACGAGGCCTGTCTCCCCTTTCGCTGCTTCGGTTTCAAGACTTCACTCCGCTTCTCACCATGTTATTTTCTCGCCCTGAATATGCCGCACAGACTTCACTGATAATGAGGTTGAGGGGGACACGCCAAGAGCAGCCCACCCCTCATCCTTTGGAGCCCCCCCCGTGGTCAAAAGGGCCTGGGGGGTTCAGGGCTGAGCCTCCCTTTCCCGCCTCCTCTAGGGGAAAGCCTTCCCGTCACCAAGACCGCCCTGCCCCAGGAGTGCAAGAGCAGCCAGCCGTGGCACCTGGGCTCCTCCGAGGACAGCAGGAGGCACCTTCTCTTCTGCGGGACAGACGTCATCCAGGCCAGGGGAGGCGATGCGGGGCCAGCGAGAGCCATCGTGCTACGGACCGGTGGGTGAAGGGGCATCTCGCATGCTGTGAAGGTTGTAAGGCGGACCTCCCCCTCTCCCCCAACACCTGGAGGGGCCTCCTCTTCACCCCCTTCATTAAGCTGCCTGATGCTGGATCCTTGTGGTCAGAGGGGTGAGGTCTCCCTCTGGATATCCTCGGGGTGTCTTCTGGCTTTCAGTCTCAGAGGCCCTGAGCGATTCCAGCTCACAGGGCAGCTCTGAGTCGTGTCCAGAAAGCACCTTCCCATCCATGCTTATCCTGACCCAGGCGGGAGGGGGGGATAGTCTCCGCCCTTCAGTCTGGGCTCTGGGGCGCCGCCTTCCTCTTCCTCCACCTTTCCTCCCGCTGGACTCTGCAGGGAGGGAGCCATCAACCTGCCAGCCCAACCTGCCTCCCCTCCCCTCCCCACCTCAGGAGGCACCTCAGGGTCACCGCTCCTCCCTCCCCCACTTCCCCACCTCAGGCTTCAACACGGCCAAGGGAGACCTGGTGAGATCCATTCTGTATCCCAAGCCCATGAACTTCCGGCTCTACAGGGACGCCCTGCAGTTCCTCCTGTGTCTCGTGGTGGCGGCTGGCATCGGGATGGTCTACGCCATCTGTGTCTTTGTAATCAATGGGGTGAGCGATGGGGGAAGGGCAGAGGCTGCCCAGGGGCTCCTGGGGGGAGGGGGAGGGGCAAATAGGGAAGCTCCTCCCTCCCTCAGTTAGGCCTGCAGGTGGCTCCACCCACGAATCCACTGTGGCTCAAGCAGCAGGTCAGAATCCATGAGGGCTGCAGTCATCTCGTAGCTTTAGTCTAGCATGGGGGGCTTCCAGCCGTGGCCACTTCAAGACTTGTGGAGCCTGATTCATCTTGATTTTTTAAAATATTGTTTTGATTATTGATTTTAATACTGCTACGGACTACCCAGAGTTGTGCTCCACATTCAGAATTACCAAGGAAATTGCAGGGCTGGTTGATCTGGGCAATGGTCAAGAATCGACCCAAAGGCATCCCACAAACTATCTAACAAACAAACAAAATCTTCCCATCCTGATTCTGGCGTGTGAAGGACGATCCTGATTGGTTCCCCTCCCCTGGGACCCTTGGAGTGTCAAAGGGCTAGTCCCACCTGGGACCCTTGGAGCATCAAAGGGGCCATGCTGGCTTGGGCTGAGGAAAGCTACAGTCCAAAACACCTGGAAGGCAGCTGGTGGCCTCCTGGGTCTTCCTGGGAAGCTGGCCTTTCGGAGAACCTTCTGGCCGAGGGCTTCCCTGGCGTGAGGATGCCCACATCCCTTGGCCTCTTGGCATGGCTCTCCTGCCTGCTGACTGCCGCCCTCCCTCCTTCCTCCTGTCCGCTAGCAAGAGGCCGGGGAGGTGGTGAAGAAAGCCCTGGATGTCATCACCATCGCGGTGCCTCCAGCTCTGCCCGCTGCCCTGACCACGGGGATCATCTACGCCCAGAGGAGGCTGAAGAAAAAGGGGATTTTCTGCATCAGTCCCCAGAGGATCAACGTGTGTGGCCAGCTGAACCTCGTCTGCTTCGACAAGGTGAGCATCTTCCCTCCCGAGGGAGCCACGAGTTTCACTTGGACGGGGCTGCGAGACAAAAGCAGTTGATGCCACCGGTTGCCGAGGGCTTGTGGGTCAAAGCTCTTCCTGTCCTTGGCTTAGTGGTCGGAGGGGTGGAGGACTGGTGGGGAAGATTGTCTGTCCCCCAGGGGCCGTGGGTCTAAAGGAGGAGATGACCAGGCTGGGCCTGAGGGGTCAAGGGCCCCATCAGCCCTGAGTCCCTTCGTGCTCACAAGTCCAGCCCTTGGTTCTTATCTGCCACTTGCTTGCTTTGACCATTAGTAGTTCAGATTCTTGTAGAGAGCTTTAGCGTGTCATAAGCCTGTATTCATTTGAGCTGCCTGGACTCCCGATTTCCTGTGCTTGACAGGAGAAGAGTAACCACTTGGGAAAGGACAAGAGGGGAGGTGTCCTTTGAGGCTGCTGGGGGCAGGGTGGGCAGGGACCGCCAGGGGTGGGATTTGGTGGCTTGCTGAACCGGCCATAACATTAGGCGAACCCGTAGCAGCCCATCCCTGACTCTGCCCCGTCCTGCAGTCTTCAACGGCAGCCCCATGTGGAGGGCACTGCAGTCAAGTGGGATTGATGGTGAGCAGACAGCCCAGGACAGGAATGGACACAGCAGGTGCATAAGAACCACCAGCGCAATGCTGCCCACTGTCCTTGGGCAGGAGCCCAGAATCCAGGAGGACCCCAGATTATGCACCAGTTGTCTCTTGTACCCCAGTTTTCTGCCAAGTATTTCAGGCTTAAGGAATCGCCGAAGTCTTTTTTAAAAAACCTGTTTTAAATTCGACACTTTTAGGGAATTACGGTTTAAGACTTTAGGACAGCTGTTTGGAGTTTGCTCACCTGGGGGAGAGCAGAAGCCGTGCAGCCATAAATGGAGAGTCAACAAGGGGTCCCCAGGAGTCCTCGGGGTGCTGATTTTGACCTGGACTGTGCTGTCCTCCTGGTAGCTATTTGGTCACTAAGTCATGCCTGACTCCTCGCAAGCCCATGGTCCGCAGCACGCCAGCCCCACCCCCATCCTCCACTGACGCCCAGAGTTTGCCCACACCCACCTTGACTGTGTCCCTGACCCTGCCTGCGCATCTCCACCTCCGCCCTCCTCTCCTCCTTCTGCCTCCCGTCTTCCCCAAGACCAGGGCCTTCTCTCGCCTCCCCTGGGAGTCAAAGTATTTGAGCTCTGGCTCTCCAAGGACAGCCTGGGTTGTTGAACTACAATTCCCATCACACCCAGCCAGTAAGACCTGCCAGCCATTCAGAGGGAGGCAGGCCGGGAAACTGAGTTCAGAGGAGGAGGAGGAGGAGGAGGAGGAGGAGGCGGCTCTGGTAACCTTGCAAACCTCCCCTCCCCCCCTTCTGCCCCAGGGGTGGAGTTGGGCCGGGGGCGGGGGTCCCTGCTCTCCAGCCTTCCCACGGGCTTCTTCTGCCCCCGTTGGGCTCATGGCTTCCTCAGGTGGAGCCTCCCCGGCTTGCAAAGGCTGCTCCGTAATCCAGGAGCTCCTTAGCCAAGAGGGGCCAAGGTAGGTCTGTGGCCCGCTGAACCCCCAGGAAAGGTCAGGAGGGGACGGGGATGGGGTGTCACCCCTCCCCCTTTGCCTGCTTCCTGACCGTGCCCCCTTGTTTTCTTCCCTCCTGGGCTCTGGCACCGTGGACCCACCTGCAGACGGGCACCCTCACGGAGGACGGGCTGGACCTGTGGGGCGTCATCTTGGCCGAAGGACAGAGGTACCCAGCTCTCCGGCCATTCTTACCCTTGTCCCCTAAGCGGCTGCACTGGAGAAGGGGAGCTGGAGGCGGTCCTTGGCTTACGGCCACAGCGGGCGCCAGAGCCCCCACGGCTGAGCGAGGCCGTCGAACAGTCGCATTGCTTAGGCGTGGGAGTCCTGGCCCAGCTGCCCCCATTACCCCCAAAGGAGCCACGCCCAGCTTTAAAACCCTCCTTTGCAGCGGTTGTTAAGTGAATCCAGTTTCCCCCTTTGACCCCTGAGAATGGGGGGGGCGGGGTGTCACATGACCCTGGGATGACCCTGGGATGCTGCAACGGTCACTGGCCAAAACCTGGGGGGAGGCTTGCGTGGCGTCCAGCCCGCGTGGCCTGCGTCTGCCTTGCCCCTCAGGAGTTCAGGGGTGGGAAACCCCATCGGAGGAAGACCTGCGTCTTCCCGGAAGGGGGACCTCTCCCCTCTCCCCTGGGACTTCTGGGCAGCTTCCAGAGCCATTTTCCCCCCGGCTAAAGCCGGGAGGGTCTTTGCTACGTCCCATCCGGTGGTCACACGGCCTCCTTGCCTCCTGGAGGGGCTCCGAGCAGCCAGACTGTCCCCCCCCCGGGCCATCTCTTTCAGGATGGTGGCCCACCAATGCTTGCAAAGAAGGGGGGGGGTCCCGGGTCTCGTGGGAGAATAGCCAGAGCTGCAACACGGTTCCTGGGGGGGGCCTCAGGAGCCCCAAACTCAGGGCAGCCTCTGGACGGGGCCCCCGGGGGGTCGGTCTTGCCCTGTGGGGCACCTGAGGTGCTTGTGCTGAAGCGTGTAATGATTGTCTCCCCCCCCACAGTTTCCAGGCGGCCCATCGCTTCTCCTCTGGCCCCCGCATGCCCTGGGGCCCGGCGTCTGCGGCCATGGCCTGCTGCCACTCCCTGATGGTCCTGGACGGGAAGGTGCAGGGGGATCCGCTGGACCTCAAGATGTTTGAGGCGACTCACTGGGTGAAGCTCCATCTTGTTCTCTGGGCACCCGCCTAACTCTGGGGTTGGCCCTGCCAGATGCCCGCAGGTGGCACCCGGAGGGAGTCTCGCTGGGAGAATGGATGGAGGGGGGAGCCCGGCCCTCCCCAGGGAGGCCCCGCTCCCACATGCCCAAAGGGTCCCCCCCCTCCCCCTCGGGGGGGCGGCGGGCCCCCCCCCCCCCCCAGTCTCTTCCCCAAGCCCTGGCAGGCCACCAAACATGCCATTTGCTTCCCCCCACTGTTAGTTCGAGACCCCCGAGGGGAGGGGGCCCCTGGCCACATAGGTGGTGATGTCATCACTCAATCGATGCGAATCACACTGTTGCCTCATTCGTATGTTGATGATGTCACGATGCATCCCCCCCTTGTCCGGCTCAGGAATTCTGGGAGTTGAAGTCCCCCGATGGAAAAGGGCCCTTGGCTGCCCTACGGCCACCGACCGGCCTGGGTTCCTGTCCGTCGGTTTGACCTTTGCCAGGACAGTCTCTCCTTAGAGCGCCTCTTTCCCTCCCCTCCCCCTTTCTGAGGGACGTGGGCCCAGACCTCGTGGCGCAGGGTAACGTTCCCTTCTGTTGGAAACAACAGGAACTGGTGGACTCCGCTGGTGGGGAAGGAGGACCGGCTGACGTGCTGGTGGTCCGGCCGGGGCCCGAAGCTGCGGAGGTGAGTGCCCTGGGCAGCCCCTGGCAGAGGAGGGTCTCTCTTCGCTTCCCTTGGGCCTTTGCTCATCCTCCTGCTCAGACTGGCATCGACACAGCCCTCGGCCTGCGCCCATCCCAGGGACATGAGCCCGGACATCCTTCCTGGTCCTGGCGCTGCCCACGAGTGGCTCAGAGCAGGAGGCCTCGAACTGGCACCGCTTCCCTCTGGGCGCCTGCAAGGGAGGGCAACCGGTGCCCCCCCCGCATCTGCTGGACTTGCTTGCGGCCCAAGGGGGGGAGCGAGTGAGCGAGAGGGAGGCCTTCGCTCCGGCCCCCCTCCTGGCGCTCCTGGCAGGGGCCTTCTGCTGTGCCCACCGACCCCCCCACCATGCTCACGGTGCCTCCTCTGAATAAGCAGGGGGGGGCAAAGCCTCCGTCTGTCTCCCCCCACCCCCTGAGCAGGGACGGTTGTTCCTCCAGTTGCTGCCAGTGGGCAGAGCGGGGAGCACATCTGGGCGGCTGGGATGCCAACTGCGGCTTTGGGGCTGCCGCCTGTGACTGGTGCCCTCGGATTCTTGGCCCGGTTCGGAGAGCCTGCTAAGGAGGTTCCAGACTGGCTCCCATGACCCTCGGCCTAGCAGCGCCTCATTACCCAAACAGGCTCTGGGTGCAGGGAAAGCCCTCCCTCTGCCCCCCCCGCTGTGCCTGGGCAGTGGGCTCAGCCCCCGTCTCCCCCCCCAGGTGCCCCTGAAGGGCCTGGCTGTCCTCCGGCAGTTCCCCTTCTCTTCGGCCCTGCAACGGATGACGGTGGTGGCCCAGGAGCTCCCCGGGGATGGCCGGGTCTTCATGAAGGGAGCCCCAGAGATGGTGGCCGGTTTCTGCCAGCCAGAGACAGGTGAGCCCTTGGCTGGCCTTGCCCAGCACCCCCTTTGCCCGCTGGGAATGCGACGGGGGCTGCAGAGGGGAGGCCCCTTGGCCATGTCCAATATCTGAGGGGCTGCCCCAGAGAGGAGGGGGGGTCAGCCCCTCCTCCAAAGCCCCTGAAGGCAGCGGGATAAGAGGCACCGCGTGGAAACTTCCCTAAGGAGGAGGGTCCGTGGAGCTGCCTCCCTCCAGGAGCTTTGGGGGCCTTCAAGAAGAGGCTGGGAGCCCCTGGTCCTGGGCGGCCTGAGGCCTGCGGCTTGAGCAGGGTCTGGGCCCCCAGGGCCCCCTCCAACCCCCCCATTCTGTTGTTTGGGGCTCTGCTCCTGCCTGGCTGGTGGGGGAGGAGAGGGGGCTCTGGAGGATCTGAGTCGCGGGGGTCTTTCTGGGTGGGACCCCTAAATTAGTGGGAGGGCCCAAAGGGAGGGCTGCAGGCGGTTTAGGGCCTGCTCCTTCTCCTGCCTGGGAGCAATTGTGCAGGGGGGGGCTCCCTGCTTGTCCTTCCCCTGCGGGGGCCCTAACTGTCTCCCCCTCCCCCAGTGCCCCCCAGCTTTGCCCGCGAACTCCAGGGCTGCACTTCCCAGGGCTTCCGAGTGATTGCGCTGGCCCACAAACGCCTGCAGGAGGGACAACTGGCTGCCTCCCTGACCAGGTAAGGGTGTGGGGGCCCCAGCGGGGGGGGGGGGGGGGGGGGCGGGGTCTCAGCTGGCCCTGGAGGCAGCCCTGCCCTCCCCGGCTTCCCAAGCAGTGCTAGAGGGCAGCCCCCCCTTCAGCTGTGGGGGGTGGGTGTGTGTCAAGCAGCCCAGAGGAGTGGGAGGGGGTCCCTCCTGAGCCCCCTGAGATCAAGCAGCCTTGCCCGGACTTTGGGGGGGGCAGAGGCAGGTGGGGGCATCCCCTGGGCAGAAGGCCCTGCCACCTGTCCCTTCCCTCTGTCCAGGGAGGAGCTGGAGTCCGGCCTGACCTTCCTGGGCCTGCTGGTCATGGAGAACCGCCTGAAGAGCGAGACCCGGCCGGTTCTGCAGGAGCTCCACCAGGCCCGCATCCGGAGCGTGATGGTCACAGGTGAGTCGGCCTTTCTGGCCCGGCAGCCGGGAGCAGGAGGAGCCCCTGGCTGTGCCACAGGGGAGGCCGGCCGGCCAGCCTCCCCATCCCTGGGCAGAGTCCGGTCCGTGAGCCAGGGACGCGGGGGGGGTGGGGGCTGCTGTCCTGGGCAGAACCAGGCCCCCCACGCAGGGATTCCCTTCCCTTCCTAGCGGGCTTCTTTCTTTACCACCACATATCCCATGCTTCCCTTCCTTCACGACTGCCTGATGACCAAGGAAGCCACACGGGGGATGGTGAACTTCGGGGTAGCAAAACCAGGAAACCACGCCAGAGGCCCCCCCTTCTGTGCAAGGAAAGGGGGGCGGAACAGGCCGCCCTCTGGCACCTGAGGGCCCCCCTCCTGCCCGGCTTCGCCAGCCCAGCCGCTAAAGTCCAGGCTTAGGGTGGGGCCCCAGACTCCGGCATGCCCCCCTCTCCCAGGCTCCGGGCTCAGTTGGCGGTGCCACTTCTCGGCCTCCCAGGTGACAACCTTCAGACTGCCATCACCGTGGCCAGAAATGCGGGCATGATCCCCCAGGGCAGCCGGGTGATCCTGGTGGAAGCCTCTGCTGGGCCAGGCCGGCCCTTGGCCTCTGTCAGCTGGGAGGAGCTGGAGGAGCCCAGCCAGGAAGGCGGCAGCAGACCAGAGGTGAGAGGGAGGCCGGGACTGTCTCTGTGCCCTCTGGGTGCCCCAACACAGGAGCCGAAGCCAACAAGCAAGACCCACTTCCCGGACAGGATTCCTGGTGGGGGGGAGACACCCCCCCATAAACAAGGAGATGCACTCGGGTATCTCCATGGCAGACAGGAGGGGAAACGATGCACCCAGGTCCGTCAGTAGAACCTCAGGTGGTCCCAGCGTCCCCCCCGCCCTTCCTGGGAAAATGAGATTCAGGGGTTGTGATGATGAAACTTAGTCTGTCCCCCCCCCGGTTTGCCCCCCGCCGTCCCCGCTTTCTCCTGTGCAGGTGGTCCTGGGGGAGCCTGGGGGAGGCCGTGGCTTCCACTTCTGCCTCACTGGGGGCTCCTACGAGGTGCTCAGCCAGCACTTTGGGCAGCTCCTCCCGCAGGTGAGTGCCGGGGGCCCAGCCCGGAGGGAGGGAAAGGAGTTCGGCCGGCCGGCCTCCCTCCTGCTCCTCCCCCCCGGGGGTCTGAAGCCGGGGCTCTCCCCTGCAGCTGCTGCTAAACGGGACGGTCTTCGCCCGGATGTCTCCTGCCCAGAAGGCCCACCTGGTGCAACAGTTCCAGCGTCTGGAGTGAGTGGGGGGCCCCGGGGGCCCCCAAGAGGGAATCGGGCAGGAAGGAGCCGCCGGGCTGCCTGGGGCTCACGGAGGGCACCGTCTTCTCTCTCTTCCAGCTACTATGTGGGCATGTGCGGAGACGGGGCCAACGACTGCGGGGTGAGGCTCGCGACGCACCTGCGGGGTGGCAGGAGCCCCCTAGCCGACGGGCAGGGCAGAGTCAGTGGGTGGTGGCCCCCTTTGGGCCTGGCTGGGCCAAGAGGCCTGGCTCTCCCCTGCCCTGCTCAGGGCGAGGCTGCTGGGCGAGGCTGGCATGGAATCGGGCCAAGCAGGCTGACCCAGCCAGGAGATTCTGCCCCCCTCTTTGGAAGGGCTCCCCAGGCCCGGCCAGCTTTTGTTCCGTGGGGAGGGGGGCCCTCTACCACCTTCCCCGCCTCCCCCCCCCTCACCATTACCCCCTCCCCCTTGCAGGCCCTGAAGGAAGCCCACGCAGGGATCTCCCTCTCGGAGCAGGACGCCTCGGTGGCCTCCCCCTTCACCTCCACGGTGCCCACCATCGAGTGTGTGCCGGAGCTGATCAGGTGGGCAGGGAAGGGATGGGGCAGGGCTGCCAGAGGGGCCCCGGGTGCAATGCCCGGCTGCACCCCAGGCCTCAGGGAGGGGGGGCTCAGGGGTCACTAAGGGGGGAGAGGCGGGTTTTGCAAAGGGGCAAACCCTCATTCCTGGGAGGGGGCTGCTGCTGGACCCCTCACACACGTTCGGGGGGGGAGGCGAGGCCCTTTATCCTCTCAGGGGGCACTGAAAGTGGGGGGGGAAAGGAGCCTCCATCCAGGTGCCCCCAGAGCAGCCCGGAGGGTCTCCAGAGGAGGAGGAGGAGGAGGAGCCTGTGGCAGGGAGGGCCATCTCCAGTGGGGGTCAAGCCCCCCCGGCCCCCCCTGGTCTTTGGAGGAGTGGGGAAACCTCTGCAAGGCCCCCAGTTTATACCTCCTTCTCCTTGCAGCAATTGCCCCCAACTCCCCCCTCCCTGACCAGCCTGGTTCCTTGAGTGGGCCCCAAAGCCCCCCCACGCTCCTCTCTAACGCTCCCCCTCCTGTCCCCCCCCGCTCCAGGCACGGCCGGGCTGCCCTGGTGACCTCCTTCTGCATGTTCAAGTACATGGCCCTCTTCAGCCTGGCCAGCTACGTTGGGGTCCTCCTGCTCTACTGGGTAGGGGGCTTTTTTTCTCTGTGGGGACCTGAGGGGGGAGGGGGCGCCGCAGGGACCGGCCCCACACCAGGGCCAGAGGCTCCTCCCTCCTCCTCCCCCCCCCCCCCTGCAGGCTGGGCCTCTCTCTTTGCACCTGGGAGGGGCCTGGCGGGAGGGGGCCTTAAGGGGCCAGCAGTTCAGACCAGCCTCAGCAAGGGGGGGGGTCCCTGGGGGGCCTCGGGGTCCTGACCCAGGGAGCTCCTGCCATGAGGCGGCTGGCTTCTCCTGTTGGGGGGAGGAAGCTGAGCCCCCCGCTTTCCCTCTCCCCCCGCCAGAAGGGCTGGGGCTGGGGAGGAGAGACCCCCCCCTCTGGGGGTCCAGGGGCTCAACGGGGGCTGCTTCTTTTCAGCAACTCAACTCCTTCGGGAATTACCAGTTCCTCTTCCTGGACCTGGCCATCACCACCGTCATTGGGATGACAAGTAAGCTGCCCCCCAGGAGGAGAGGCGGCCCCTCCTGCCAGGAAAGCTGGTCAGGGCCTATCCAGGAAGACCCAGGAAGGAGCCCCCCCCACAGAGAGAGAGCTGGGGGTGGCCAGGGGGGCCGGCTCCGCATGGAGGGGCCACCTCTGGTCTGCCAAGCAACGGGGCGGAATGGCTCAAGAGAGGCCCCAGACCCCCTCCCTGGGCTAAGCTGCCTTGGTCCCGGGTGGGGCAGACCCTCCAGCCCTGCTCCCTCCTGGCCCCCAGGGGAGGAGAGACGGCGCCCTTCACCCCCCTGTGAGAAACCTCCCCCCCCGCTGTGCCCACTGCCCACCGCTCAAAGCCCTGCCTGGGTGGGGGGTTCAGGGGGGGCACTTGGCCCCCCTGGAGCTGCTCTGGCCCAGGGGTGCCCGGCCAGGGCTGCCTCAGCTGACCCCCCCCTTCCCCCCCGCGCCGGGGGCCCGAATGGGCCCCACCCCAAGCTGGCCCCCCACCGCCCCCCCACGCAGCTGATTGCCCCCCCGCTGCTGCTCTCGGTGGTGCTGAACCTGCTCTTCAGCCTGGCGGTGCAGCTGTGCGGCTTCCTCCTGGTGCAGCGGCAGCCCTGGTACTCGCCCAGCGACATCCACAGGTAGGCGGCCTGGAGGCCCCCCCCTCTTCCCCCCCCAGAGAGTGAGGGGATGCCGGGGGGGGCTGGGCTGCACGGGCCAAGAGGGCTGCCCCCTTCTGTGTGGGGCCCCCGCCCCCCTCGACCCAGGGCCCCCCAGCAGCTTTCAAGGGCTCCAAAGCGCTCAAGGTAACGGCAAAGCTCCAACGCCGGGAACACGGGGAGACAGTGCGGCAGGAGACGTTGGTTCCTGGGTTGGACGACCCTTTGACCAGGAGGCTGTCACGTCTCCTGCCTTGAGCAGCGGGGTGGACTAGAAGGCCTCTGAGGTCCCTTCCAGCCAGGGATGGGCTTCAAAAATGTGAGCAACGGGTTCTCTGCTCGGATTCTGGGTGGGTGTGGCCATGGTGGGTGTGGCCCAGTCAGCCTTCGCCCTCCCCGGGCTCCGGCGGCTTCCCTCGAGCCTCCACGAAACCAGGAACGGGCCTGGTTCTGCCCTTCCAGAACTCCTGGGAGGCCCATTTTGCGCAGGGACTTTACTTACCTGCCCTCCCAAATAGGCAGCAGGGAGGCTCCTGGGAGGGGTGGGGCAGGGTAGGCGGGGCCAGCCTAAGGCGGGATTTGGGGGTTCTCCGACCCACGCAGAATCTCAGCTAGGGGCTCCCCCGAACACCTGGGGACCCCCAGCAGCCCCCCTCCCTGCTTCTAGCCCCAGGAGTCTATGCCCCCACAATAAGCACTGGGGGGCCTCCCCTCCCCGCTTCCTTCCAGCGCCTGCTCCCCCGGGAACAGCAGCCAGGGCCCCGGGCCCCGAACTCCCCTGCCCAGGGAGGGCTTCCAGAGCTACGAGAACACCAGCGTGTGGCTCCTCTGCACCCTCAACTGCCTGACGGCGGCCCTGGTCTTCTCCAAGGGGAGGCCCTTCCGGGAGCCCCTCTACAAGAACTGTAAGCGGGACAAGCCCGGAGGGAGGGGGAGGGGGAGGGGGAGGGCCCTTCCCGGGGGCTGGGCGACCACAAGTCTCCCACTGGGTGCCTGGAGAGATGGCTGGGAGGCCACTCTGCCCGCCCCCCCCTCAGTCTGAAGTTCTGCTTGTCCCACCAGGAGAGAGGGGGCACCTCCCCTTCTCCTGCAAAGGGGAGCAGCCTCCCGTCCCCCTCTGGCCGGGGGCGGGGGGCGGCCACCTTTGTGTCCCTTGCCAAGGCAACTGGGGGGGCGGCCTCCAGGTTTTGGCCTTCCGGCCAGGGGAGCTGGACTTCCCTTCGGTCGGCTTGGTGTTTGGCCACTGGCTGCAGGCTCAGCCCTGGCCCGGCGGCTTCCCCCCCCCTGAGGCAGCTCGGCCGGTGGAAGGGGGCTCCGTCTGCGTGGCAAGCCCAAACGCCCGGCCCCAGAGCCAGCAGGGCGAGAGAGAGGCTGGGCGTGGCTCTCTCCGGAGGGGGCGAGAAACGAGCCCCCCGGAGCCTCTTGCACCCTCTCCCATCTACACATGCACACACACGCACACACGCCATTCACATCCCGCGCTGACGCTTTTGCCCCCCCAGACGTCTTCGTTGTGGTCCTGGCGGTGCAGCTGGCCGTCTGCCTCTTCTTCCTCTTTGCCAACATCGACGGACTCTACGCCCAGATGGATGTAAGCAGGGCCGGGGGCTGCTGGGGGTGGGGGTGGGGCAGGACTGGCCAGAGGGGCCTGGAGGGTGACCCCTTTCTCAGCCTGGCTGGGGTGGGGCCGGCCTTGCGCTGACCCTCGGGGCCAACCGGTGGCCTGGGAGGGACGCGTGAGGCGTGTGTGCAAATTCTCTCGTGGGCCCTCCAGGCGGAGCTGCAGAGGTGGCGTGGAGGCTCAGAGCAGCAGCCAGTCAGTTGTGTAGCTCAGCTTTCAGCAGCAACGGGGAAAAAAAGTGTGTGTATGTGTGTGTGTGTGTGTGTGTAGGCTGAATTCCAACAGCCGCTTGTCTGTTGTCTGCCGTCTCCCAGGCTTGACCCCCCCCCCCGGCCTGCAGCCAAGCTTTGCCCCCCCATATTGGGTCCTGTCCCTGCTTCTACTCCAAGGACCAGGAATTTCACCTGTGGTCAAGTGGGGGGGGGTGCAAATCCCCTCTAGGAAACCCCCCCCCCCACAGCCTGGGCCTCTCATGCATGCTTGCAATCCCGGATCCAAGGCGGGGCTGGCAGTGCATGATGGGAGTCAGTCCAGCCCATTGGGAGGGGGGGGGCTCCAGGTTGGCGGAGACGTACCCCAAGAGGGCCGGGCTGACCCATTGCAGGGGCTGCGGGGGGGGGGAGGGGGGGAGCTGAAAGCCGGTCAGTCGCTTCCCAGGGGAGGCAGAGAGTCTTTGTCCGGGCCTGGGGGGGGGTGGGATGGGATGGAGGGGGAGCAAGGTGCAGCCCCCCCTCCCCCCTCTGACGACCCCCTGCCGTCTCTCCCGCCCACAGCTGGTGTGCACCCCCCCCCCCTCTGGAGAGTGTGGCTGCTGGGGCTGCTGCTGGGGGCCTTCATCGCCTCCTTCGTTGTGGAGGTAAGTGGGGTCCTGCTCTGCCCCCCCAGCCGGAAGCCCCCCCCCAGGATGGGCTCTCATTGGTGGGATTCCACCCCTCCCTCCTCCTGGTTTCTTCCAACAACCAGTTCCCCAAATGGCTCAGACAGTTAGCAGCCGGTTCTCCTGAACCAGTGTGACCCGGTTGCCACCCAGAGTCCCAAGGGCACCGAAAATAGGGACGGGGGACGGATCTCCGACTTGGGTCAGTGCGGCCCCCCTGGGAGTCACGTGACCCAGACTCAGAGGCTTGGCAACTGGCACAGACTTACGACGGTGGCAGAGTCCCCTTATCCCTTTTTGCGACCAGCAAAATCAACGGGGAAGCCAGATTCACTTAACAACTGTGGGACTGGTTTAACAACTGCAGCGATTCACTTAGCAACGGTGGCAAGAAAGGTCGTGAAGTGGGCTGTGACTCAATTAACAACTGCTTTGCTTAGCAGTGGAAATGTTGGGCTCTCCTGAGGGCCCCCCCAGCCCCCCCGTTCCACAGGCCTGGCCACCCTGCGTGTGGCCTCCTGCGCTGCCTCCAGGCCTGGCAGCCCAGAGGGGTGGGGGATGGGGACCTTCTGCCCTGCTCGGCCCCCTGCTGACCTCCTCCCCCTTTCCCCCCCCCCGCAGGAATGGGTGATAGAGAACCGGGCGCTCTGGCGGTGGCTGAAGGGGGCCACGGGGTACCAGTCCAGCAGCCGCTACAAGCAGCTCCAGCGGGCCCTGCGGCAGGACCCGGCGTGGCCCCCCAGCAACAGGACCGACTTCTCGGGCTCCCTGGCCGTCCCGCTCGAAGGGCCGGGCCCCACCTACACCAACCCGGCCTTCGTGAGCCATGAGCCGCCCTGCCACCAAGGCTGAGGCCGGGTCTCACCTGGCAGCACGGCGGGCCTGAACTCGGGGCACCGGCCCTGGATGCCCTCCCCTCCCTGCCCTGTGGGCCTTGGGGGCAACGGAGACCAGCTGGGAGATGACTAACCTGGGGGGAGGCGGGGGGGCAGGAGGGGGGAGGGACCCCCCAGTGGGAGCCCGGGGGGGAGGCAGGGAACCCACCTGCCCTGTTGGAGGGATGGTGCCAAAGGACAGGGGGTGAGAGGGAGGGAGGGTCCCTAGGGGTCTTCCCTGCTAAGGCACAGGGGTGCCCCACCTCCTGGGTGGCCCTGCTCTCTAGAGGCTTCCGCTGGGCAACCCTGGGCCGAAGGAGCTCCGTTTCTACCTGGTGCTAGGAAGGGTTGCAGCTGCTCCAGGTCCCCCCCAGCCCTCCTGCCCCCCCCAGATGCTGAGGCTGCCAAGGGCTCAGGTGTGAAGGCAGGTCCTCCGCCAGCCCCTCCCTCCTTGGATCTCGCCCGCCTTCCTGCTCCTTTCCCCACCGGGGGGTCCTTTGTCTCCGTCTCCTTGTTCCCAGCAAGTGTCTCTCCTGCCAGGAAGGGCCCCCCTTCCCCTCTCGGGGCGCCTCGGGAACCTCCACACCGATCACAGGCTGCACTTACGGGTGGCCCCTTCGGTGGCCAGCAGGGGTCAGGCTCGACCTGTGCTCTGGGGCCCCGGTGGCTCCCTTGGGCATTGCAGGGGAGGGGCTGAAATCCGGAGGGCTGCTGCTCTTTTATTTAAACTGATTTTTGTTCAGTGTTGGGGTCCAGTGGGGGCCTGCATTGATGAGGAGGAGGAGGAGGAGGATGAGGAGGACGGCACAGTAGTCTGCTTAAAGGAGCAGCTCAGGGGCTGCCATCCTGGCCTGTGGGCAGACATTCATCTTCCAATAACATTTTCTGTTCCGGGAACATCAAGAGAAAAATGATGTTGAATTAAACGCATCGGAGACCCTTGCAGTCCGTACATGTTTTCCTATGGATGATCCTATGGAAAGTTGTAGCCTTTGCACAGGCTCTTTGGGCCCCGGGAGAAGGTTGGGGTGAAGCCCGCCCTGGGGCTCTTTTGCCCAGGACCACCTCAGCTGCACCAGCTGGCAACCCTGTGTGTGTGTGTGTGTGTGTGTGTGTGACTCCAGTCCTCCCCAGCCTGGCGCTGAGCCGCTGGAAAAAGGCTGAGCCCACAAAGAACCCAGAGGACAAGTCTTAGCAATCACCCGCAGCAGAACATTTCAAAGGCCGTCCCGGAAAAGGACCTTATTATGTAGAATAGGATACGGCAGGACAGGATGGAAGAGGAGAGAATAATGAACAGAATAGGCTAGAATAAGGAATTGGATGGGACCTCGGAGGTCTTCTAGTCCAGCCCCCTGTTCAATCAAGAGAACCTATACCATTTCAGGCCAATTTGGTGGTCCGGCCTCTGCTTAAAACCCTCCAGTGTCGGAGGACCCACAACTTCTAATTGTTCTCATCATTAGGAAATTCCTCCTCAGTTCCAGGTTGCTTCTCTCCTTGGTGAGCTTCCGTCCGTTGCTTCGTGTCCCGCCCTCGGAGGCTTTGGAGACCCCCCACCCTCTCTATTCACACCTGTCGCAGTTAGCAAAGGACAAAGTGAACCCGGAAGAGCCACCGAGGGTGGGATGGAGGAACAGCCAGGCCCTACGCAACCCTCCTAACCGGATTTTTGGAAAAGGGGGTGGAGAGAGAGAAGTGGTTGGGTTATTCATTCATTCCTTTATCAAACGCATCTCTTGTGCACCACAATCGGGCAGCTTAGGGAGAATTCAAACAGAGAATGAAAGCGTCCGTGGTAGCTTCTAAAAATACCCCCACAAGTCACAAGTAGAAATAAAAACCCTACCAAGAAACGAACAATAAACGGAGAATAAAAGCTAAAGACATGGCATGAAAGGACACTCCCTGGAAGAAAAGTGTTCAAAACTTCAGCTAGGATCTTTGGCTCACACAGTGTGAGTGTGTGTGTGTGTGTGTACGTGGGCGCTCTAACAGGAAAGCAGCGCCTGCCCACATCAGATAACAGATTTAAGAGATAATCAGACTTGGAAGGGACCTTGTAGGTCATCTAGTCCAACCCCCCCCCGCCCAAGCAGGAGACCCCACACCATTTCTGACAAAAGGCAGTCCAATCTCTTCTTGAAAGCCTCTGCCCCCTCCTGTTCCCCCGAATGTCCCCCGCTCTTTCTTCGTGTCCACCAACTCAGCCAGGCTGGTTCTGCAGGGATTTGGGCCCCAAACCAGCTTTACAGATCAAACTCTGCACCTGAAATCCCACCCAGAAACCCGGGTTGGGTCTGCCCTCCAATGGCCAGGAGCCCAAAGAATTCCTGGCCAGTGGGCAGTTTGTACGTGGAGGACTCAGGGTGGGCATGGGGGTGCGGGGGTGGGCACGGGGGGGGGTCCCAGGTGGCTCTGCTCAAGGGGGAACCATGGGGAGCCAGGCCCTCAGAGGAGGAGGAGGGGGGGTCGTTCTCAGAGAGGGTGGCAGGAACCTAGGCGTGAAGCAGGCAGCAGAGACCCCCGCCCAGGGGTGGGATTCAGCCAGTTTGCACCACTTCGGCAGAACCGGTTAAGTTCCTGAGCAGTTTGCCCACGCGGTTGGGCAACAGCAAGGCAGCTTTCTGGGCGGGCAGAGCTGCTTCCGCCACACCCACCTGTCAGGGCGCAACTTCTGCCACCGGCTCGACAATTCCTGGCCGAGGCAGCCGGAGGGAAGGAAAGCCGGGCGGTTTCAGGCCAGGGCTGGTCTCAGCTCTGCAGCTCCGGAGAGGGAGATTTTGGAGGCAGCCACTCGACACCTGCAGGCCTCGCTCTGCCTTTTCCACGCCCCGGGAAGTGCCGCATCCTCTCTCTTACTCCCGCTGCCGGGGAAAGAACCGGCTGAGGCCCCGCTAGCTGGCGGCTGATGGTGGCGAGTGCCCAGCTCCAGCGTTCAGGGGGTGGAGACGCCAGACGAAAGGAAGGCTCCCCCCCCCTTATCCTCCAAAGCACCAGGAGGCGGGATAAGAAGCCACGGATGGAAAGAGAAGCAGCCTCGAACGGAGGAGAAACTCCCTGACAGGGAGGACAATTAGCCAGTGGAACAGCCTGCCACTAGAAGTTGTGGGTGCCTCCATCCCTGGAGGTTTTAAAGAAGAGACTGGACAGCTGCTTATCTGGAATTGTACTTGATCTCCTGCTATGGGTAGGGGGGGGTTGGACTAGAAGACCTCCGGGGTCCCTTCCAACTCTGCTACCCTTTTGGGGGGTGGATTCCAAGGGGTTGGCCCATGCAGGGAGACCCTTGGGAAAGAGGAGGAAGAGGGCTTGGTGGGATGAAGGGTCTTCTGGGCCCAACACCTGGAGGGAGAGTGCTGGGCGTGAAGGGTGGCAGGGCCTCTGCCCACACAGACACCACCCCAGCCTGGGTGACTCAGGGATCGATCCTTGCCAGCATTAGGGGAGGAACAAGGCTGGAGTTGGGCGCC